AGTAGTTATTTTTGCAGATGGTGTAGTATAAGCTGAAGGTGTTTCTGTTTCAGGATATCCTGAAGTAGTTATTTTTGCAGACGGTGTCGTATAAACTGCGGATGTTTTTGTTTCAGGATATCCTGGTGTAGTAGTTATTTTTGTAGATGGTGTAGTATAAACTGCAGTTGTTTCTGTGTCAGGATATTCTGGTGGAGTAGTTATTTCTGCAGATGGTGTAGTATAAGCAGAAGGTGTTTCTGTTTCAGGATATCCTGGTGGAGTAGTTATTTTTGCAGAAGGTGTAGTATAAGCTGCAGTTGTTTCTGCTTCAGGATATCCTGGTGGAGTAGTTATATTTGCCGATGGTGTAGTATAAGCTGCAGTAGTTTCAGTTTCAGGATATCCTGGTGTAGTAGTTATTTTTGCAGATGGTGTAGTATAAACTGCAGTTGTTTCTGTTTCAGGATATCCTGGTGGAGTAGTTATTTTTGCAGATGGTGTAGTATAAGCTGAAGGTGTTTCTGTCTCAGGATATCCTGGTGTAGTAGTTATTGTTGCAGATGGTGTAGTATAAACTGCAGTTGTTTCTGTTTCAGGATATCCTGGTGGAGTAGTTATTTTTGCAGATGGTGTAGTATAAGCTGAAGGTGTTTCTGTTTCAGGATATCCTGGTGTAGTAGTTATTTTTGCAGATGGTGTAGTATAAGCTGAAGGTGTTTCTGTTTCAGGATATCCTGGTGTAGTAGTTATTTTTGCAGATGGTGTAGTATAAGCTGAAGGTGTTTCTGTTTCAGGATATCCTGGTGTAGTAGTTATTTTTGCAGATGGTGTAGTATAAGCTGAAGGTGTTTCTGTTTCAGGATATCCTGGTGTAGTAGTTATTTTTGCAGATGGTGTAGTATAAGCTGAAGGTGTTTCTGTTTCAGGATATCCTGGTGTAGTAGTTATTTTTGCAGATGGTGTAGTATAAGCTGAAGGTGTTTCTGTTTCAGGATATCCTGGTGTAGTAGTTATTTTTGCAGATGGTGTAGTATAAGCTGAAGGTGTTTCTGTTTCAGGATATCCTGGTGTAGTAGTTATTTTTGCAGATGGTGTAGTATAAGCTGAAGGTGTTTCTGTTTCAGGATATCCTGGTGTAGTAGTTATTTTTGCAGATGGTGTAGTATAAGCTGAAGGTGTTTCTGTTTCAGGATATCCTGGTGTAGTAGTTATTTTTGCAGATGGTGTAGTATAAGCTGAAGGTGTTTCTGTTTCAGGATATCCTGGTGTAGTAGTTATTTTTGCAGATGGTGTAGTATAAGCTGAAGGTGTTTCTGTTTCAGGATATCCTGGTGTAGTAGTTATTTTTGCAGATGGTGTAGTATAAGCTGAAGGTGTTTCTGTTTCAGGATATCCTGGTGTAGTAGTTATTTTTGCAGATGGTGTAGTATAAGCTGAAGGTGTTTCTGTTTCAGGATATCCTGGTGTAGTAGTTATTTTTGCAGATGGTGTAGTATAAGCTGAAGGTGTTTCTGTTTCAGGATATCCTGGTGTAGTAGTTATTTTTGCAGATGGTGTAGTATAAGCTGAAGGTGTTTCTGTTTCAGGATATCCTGGTGTAGTAGTTATTTTTGCAGATGGTGTAGTATAAGCTGAAGGTGTTTCTGTTTCAGGATATCCTGGTGTAGTAGTTATTTTTGCAGATGGTGTAGTATAAGCTGAAGGTGTTTCTGTTTCAGGATATCCTGGTGTAGTAGTTATTTTTGCAGATGGTGTAGTATAAGCTGAAGGTGTTTCTGTTTCAGGATATCCTGGTGTAGTAGTTATTTTTGCAGATGGTGTAGTATAAGCTGAAGGTGTTTCTGTTTCAGGATATCCTGGTGTAGTAGTTATTTTTGCAGATGGTGTAGTATAAGCTGAAGGTGTTTCTGTTTCAGGATATCCTGGTGTAGTAGTTATTTTTGCAGATGGTGTAGTATAAGCTGAAGGTGTTTCTGTTTCAGGATATCCTGGTGTAGTAGTTATTTTTGCAGATGGTGTAGTATAAGCTGAAGGTGTTTCTGTTTCAGGATATCCTGGTGTAGTAGTTATTTTTGCAGATGGTGTAGTATAAGCTGAAGGTGTTTCTGTTTCAGGATATCCTGGTGTAGTAGTTATTTTTGCAGATGGTGTAGTATAAGCTGAAGGTGTTTCTGTTTCAGGATATCCTGGTGTAGTAGTTATTTTTGCAGATGGTGTAGTATAAGCTGAAGGTGTTTCTGTTTCAGGATATCCTGGTGTAGTAGTTATTTTTGCAGATGGTGTAGTATAAGCTGAAGGTGTTTCTGTTTCAGGATATCCTGGTGTAGTAGTTATTTTTGCAGATGGTGTAGTATAAGCTGAAGGTGTTTCTGTTTCAGGATATCCTGGTGTAGTAGTTATTTTTGCAGATGGTGTAGTATAAGCTGAAGGTGTTTCTGTTTCAGGATATCCTGGTGTAGTAGTTATTTTTGCAGATGGTGTAGTATAAGCTGAAGGTGTTTCTGTTTCAGGATATCCTGGTGTAGTAGTTATTTTTGCAGATGGTGTAGTATAAGCTGAAGGTGTTTCTGTTTCAGGATATCCTGGTGTAGTAGTTATTTTTGCAGATGGTGTAGTATAAGCTGAAGGTGTTTCTGTTTCAGGATATCCTGGTGTAGTAGTTATTTTTGCAGATGGTGTAGTATAAGCTGAAGGTGTTTCTGTTTCAGGATATCCTGGTGTAGTAGTTATTTTTGCAGATGGTGTAGTATAAGCTGAAGGTGTTTCTGTTTCAGGATATCCTGGTGTAGTAGTTATTTTTGCAGATGGTGTAGTATAAGCTGAAGGTGTTTCTGTTTCAGGATATCCTGGTGTAGTAGTTATTTTTGCAGATGGTGTAGTATAAGCTGAAGGTGTTTCTGTTTCAGGATATCCTGGTGTAGTAGTTATTTTTGCAGATGGTGTAGTATAAGCTGAAGGTGTTTCTGTTTCAGGATATCCTGGTGTAGTAGTTATTTTTGCAGATGGTGTAGTATAAGCTGAAGGTGTTTCTGTTTCAGGATATCCTGGTGTAGTAGTTATTTTTGCAGATGGTGTAGTATAAGCTGAAGGTGTTTCTGTTTCAGGATATCCTGGTGTAGTAGTTATTTTTGCAGATGGTGTAGTATAAGCTGAAGGTGTTTCTGTTTCAGGATATCCTGGTGTAGTAGTTATTTTTGCAGATGGTGTAGTATAAGCTGAAGGTGTTTCTGTTTCAGGATATCCTGGTGTAGTAGTTATTTTTGCAGATGGTGTAGTATAAGCTGAAGGTGTTTCTGTTTCAGGATATCCTGGTGTAGTAGTTATTTTTGCAGATGGTGTAGTATAAGCTGAAGGTGTTTCTGTTTCAGGATATCCTGGTGTAGTAGTTATTTTTGCAGATGGTGTAGTATAAGCTGAAGGTGTTTCTGTTTCAGGATATCCTGGTGTAGTAGTTATTTTTGCAGATGGTGTAGTATAAGCTGAAGGTGTTTCTGTTTCAGGATATCCTGGTGTAGTAGTTATTTTTGCAGATGGTGTAGTATAAGCTGAAGGTGTTTCTGTTTCAGGATATCCTGGTGTAGTAGTTATTTTTGCAGATGGTGTAGTATAAGCTGAAGGTGTTTCTGTTTCAGGATATCCTGGTGTAGTAGTTATTTTTGCAGATGGTGTAGTATAAGCTGAAGGTGTTTCTGTTTCAGGATATCCTGGTGTAGTAGTTATTTTTGCAGATGGTGTAGTATAAGCTGCAGTTGTTTCTGTTTCGGGATATCCTGGTGGAGTAGTTATTTTTGCAGATGGTGTAGTATAAGCTAAAGGTGTTTCTGTTTCATAATATTCTGGTGGAGTAGTTATTTTTTCAGATGGAGTAGTATCAGCTGAAGGTGTTTCTGTTTCAGTATATCCTGGTCTAGTAGTTATATTTGTAGATTGTGTAATATAAGCTGAAGGAGTTTCTGTTTCAGGATATCCTGGTGGAGTAGTTATTTTCGCAGATGGTGCAGTATAAGCTACAGTTGTTTCTGCTTCAGGATATCCTGGTGGAGTAGTTATTTTTGCAGATGGTGTAGTATAAGCTGAAGGTGTTTCTGCTTCAGGATATCCTGAAGTAGTTATTTTAGCAGATGGTGTCATATAAACTGCAGGTGTTTCTGTTCCGGAATATCCAGGTGTAGTAGTTATTTTTGCAGATGGTGTCATATAAGCTGCCGGTGTTTCTGTTTCAGGATATCCTGAAGTAGTTATTTGTGCAGACGGTGTCGTATAAACTGCGGATGTTTCTGTTTTAGGATATCCTGGTGTAGTAGTTATTTTTGCAGATGGTGTAGTATAAACTGCAGTTGTTTCTGTGTCAGGATATTCTGGTGGAGTAGTTATTTTTGCAGATGGTGTAGTATAAGCAGAAGGTGTTTCTGTTTCAGGATATCCTAGTGTAGTAGTTATTTTTGCAGATGGTGTAGAATAAGCTGAAGGTGTTTCTGTTTCAGGATATCCTGGTGGAGTAGTTATTTTTGCAGAAGGTGTAGTATAAGCTGCAGTTGTTTCTGCTTCAGGATATCCTGGTGGAGTAGTTATATTTGCAGATGGTGTAGTATAAGCTGAAGGTGTTTCTGTCTCAGGATATCCTTATAAGCTGAAGGTGTTTCTGTCTCAGGATATCCTGGTGTAGTAGTTATTGTTGCAGATGGTGTAGTATAAACTGCAGTTGTTTCTGTTTCAGGATATCCTGGTGGAGTAGTTATTTTTGCAGATGGTGTCGTATAAGCTGAAGGTATTTCTGCTTCAGGATATCCTGGTGTCGTATAAACTGCGGGTGTTTCTGTTTCAGGATATCCTGGTATAGTAGTTATTTTTGCAGATGGTGTAGTATAAGTTGAAGGTGTTTCTATTTCAGGATATTTTGGTGGAGTAGTTATTTTTGCAGATGGTGTAGTATAAGCTGAAAGTGTTTCTGTTTTAGGATATCCTGGCGTAGTAGTTATTTTTACAGATGGTGTAGTATAAGCTGAAGGTGTTTCTGTTTCAGGATATCCTGGTGTAGTAGTTACTTTTGCAGATGGTGTAGTATAAACTGTGGGTGTTTCTGTTTCAGGATATCCTGGTGTAGTAGTTATTTTTGCAGATGGTGTAGTATAAGCTGAAGGTGTTTCTGTCTCAGGATATCCTGGTGTAGTAGTTATTTTTGCAGATGGTGTAGTATAAACTGCAGTTGTTTCTGTTTCAGGATATCCTGGTGGAGTAGTTATTTTTGCAGATGGTGTAGTATAAGCTGAAGGTGTTTCTGTCTCAGGATATCCTGGTGTAGTAGTTATTTTTGCAGATGGTGTAGTATAAACTGCAGTTGTTTCTGTTTCAGGATATCCTGGTGGAGTAGTTATTTTTGCAGATGGTGTAGTATAAGCTGAAGGTGTTTCTGTTTCAGGATATCCTGGTGTAGTAGTTATTTTTGCAGATGGTGTAGTATAAACTGCAGTTGTTTCTGTTTCAGGATATCCTGGTGGAGTAGTTATTTTTGCAGATGGTGTAGTATAAGCTGAAGGTGTTTCTGTCTCAGGATATCCTGGTGTAGTAGTTATTTTTGCAGATGGTGTAGTATAAACTGCAGTTGTTTCTGTTTCAGGATATCCTGGTGGAGTAGTTATTTTTGCAGATGGTGTAGTATAAGCTGAAGGTGTTTCTGTTTCAGGATATCCTGGTGTAGTAGTTATTTTTGCAGATGGTGTAGTATAAACTGCAGTTGTTTCTGTTTCAGGATATCCTGGTGGAGTAGTTATTTTTGCAGATGGTGTAGTATAAGCTGAAGGTGTTTCTGTCTCAGGATATCCTGGTGTAGTAGTTATTTTTGCAGATGGTGTAGTATAAACTGCAGTTGTTTCTGTTTCAGGATATCCTGGTGGAGTAGTTATTTTTGCAGATGGTGTAGTATAAGCTGAAGGTGTTTCTGTCTCAGGATATCCTGGTGTAGTAGTTATTTTTGCAGATGGTGTAGTATAAACTGCAGTTGTTTCTGTTTCAGGATATCCTGGTGGAGTAGTTATTTTTGCAGATGGTGTAGTATAAGCTGAAGGTGTTTCTGTCTCAGGATATCCTGGTGTAGTAGTTATTTTTGCAGATGGTGTAGTATAAACTGCAGTTGTTTCTGTTTCAGGATATCCTGGTGGAGTAGTTATTTTTGCAGATGGTGTAGTATAAGCTGAAGGTGTTTCTGTTTCAGGATATCCTGGTGTAGTAGTTATTTTTGCAGATGGTGTAGTATAAACTGCAGTTGTTTCTGTTTCAGGATATCCTGGTGGAGTAGTTATTTTTGCAGATGGTGTAGTATAAGCTGAAGGTGTTTCTGTCTCAGGATATCCTGGTGTAGTAGTTATTTTTGCAGATGGTGTAGTATAAACTGCAGTTGTTTCTGTTTCAGGATATCCTGGTGGAGTAGTTATTTTTGCAGATGGTGTAGTATAAGCTGAAGGTGTTTCTGTCTCAGGATATCCTGGTGTAGTAGTTATTTTTGCAGATGGTGTAGTATAAACTGCAGTTGTTTCTGTTTCAGGATATCCTGGTGGAGTAGTTATTTTTGCAGATGGTGTAGTATAAGCTGAAGGTGTTTCTGTCTCAGGATATCCTGGTGTAGTAGTTATTTTTGCAGATGGTGTAGTATAAACTGCAGTTGTTTCTGTTTCAGGATATCCTGGTGGAGTAGTTATTTTTGCAGATGGTGTAGTATAAGCTGAAGGTGTTTCTGTTTCAGGATATCCTGGTGTAGTAGTTATTTTTGCAGATGGTGTAGTATAAACTGCAGTTGTTTCTGTTTCAGGATATCCTGGTGGAGTAGTTATTTTTGCAGATGGTGTAGTATAAGCTGAAGGTGTTTCTGTTTCAGGATATCCTGGTGTAGTAGTTATTTTTGCAGATGGTGTAGTATAAACTGCAGTTGTTTCTGTTTCAGGATATCCTGGTGGAGTAGTTATTTTTGCAGATGGTGTAGAATAAGCTGAAGGTGTTTCTGTTTCAGGATATCCTGGTGGAGTAGTTATTTTTGCAGATGATGTAGTATAAGCTGCAGTTGTTTCTGTTTCAGGATATCCTGGTGGAGTAGTAATTTTTGCAGATGGTGTAGTATAAACTGCAGTTGTTTCTGTTTCAGGATATCCTGGTGGAGTAGTAATTTTTGCAGATGGTGTAGTATAAGCTGCAGTTGTTTCTGTTTCGGTATATCCTGGTGGAGTAGTTATTTTTGCAGATGATGTAGTATAAGCTGAATGTGTATCTGTTTCAGGATATCCTGGTGTAGTGGTTATTTTTGCAGATGGTGTAGTATAAGCTGAAGGTGTTTCTGTTTCAGGATATCCTGGTGTAGTAGTTATTTTTGCAGATGGTGTAGAATAAGCTGAAGGTGTTTCTGTTTCAGGATATCCTGGTGGAGTAGTTATTTTTGCAGATGATGTAGTATAAGCTGCAGTTGTTTCTGTTTCAGGATATCCTGGTGGAGTAGTAATTTTTGCAGATGGTGTAGTATAAGCTGCAGTTGTTTCTGTTTCGGTATATCCTGGTGGAGTAGTTATTTTTGCAGATGATGTAGTATAAGCTGAATGTGTATCTGTTTCAGGATATCCTGGTGTAGTGGTTATTTTTGCAGATGGTGTAGTATAAGCTGAAGGTGTTTCTGTTTCAGGATATTCTGGTGGAGTAATTATATTTGTAGAATGTGTAATATAAGCTGAAGGAGTTTCTGTTTCAAGATATCCTGGTGGAGTAGTTATTTTTGCAGATGATGCAGTATAAGCTACAGTTGTTTCTGTTTCAGGATATCCCGGTGGAGTAGTTATTTTTGCAGATGGTGTAGTATAAGCTGAAGGTGTTTCTGTTTTAGGATATCCTGGTATAGTAGTTATTTTTGTAGAAGGTGTAGTATAAACTGAAGGAGTTTCTGTTTCAGGATATCCTGGTGGAGTAGTTATTTTTGCAGATGGTGTAGTATAAGCTACAGTTGTTTCTGTTTCAGGATATCCTGGTGGAGTAGTTATTTTTGCAGATGATGTAGTATAAGCTGAAGGTGTTTCTGTCTCAGGATATCCTTATAAGCTGAAGGTGTTTCTGTTTCAGGATATCCTGGTGTAGTTATTTTTGCAGATGGTGTAGTATAAGCTGAAGGTGTTTCTGTTTCAGTATATCCTGGTGGAGTAGTTATATTTGCAGATGGTGTAGTATAAGCTGCAGTAGTTTTTGTTTCAGGATATCCTGGTGGAGAAGTAATTTTTGCAGATGGTGTAGTAAAAGCTGAAGGTGTTTCTGTTTCAGGATATCCTGGTGTAGTAGTTATTTTTGCAGATGGTGTAGTATAAGCTGAAGTCGTTTCTGTTTCGGGATATCCTGGTGGAGTACTTATTTTTGCAGATGGTGTAGTATAAGTTGGAGGTGTTTCTGTTTCAGGATATTCTGGTGGAGTAGTTATTTTTGCAGATGGTGTAGTACAGTTGTTTCTGTTTCAGGATATCCTGGTGGAGTAGTTATTTTTGCAGATGGTGTCGTATAAGCTGCAGTTGTTTCTGTATCAGGATATCCTGGTGGAGTAGTTATTTTTGCAGATGGTGTCGTATAAGCTGCAGTTGTTTCTGTTTCAGGATATCCTGGTGGAGTAGTTATTTTTGCAGATGGTGTCGTATAAGCTGCAGTTGTTTCTGTTTCAGGATATCCTGTTGGAGTAGTTATTTTTGCAGATAGTGTAGTATAAGCTGCAGTTGTTTCTGTTTCAGGATATTCTGGTGGAGTAGTTATTTTTGCAGATGGTATCGTATAAGCTGCAGTTGTTTCGGTATCAGGATATCGTGGTGGAGTAGTTATTTTTGCAGATGGTGTAGTAAACGCTGCAGGTGTTTCTAAACCATAAAATTTTGGTGGAGTAGTCATTTTAACAGATGGTGTTGTGTATGCTGCAGGTGTAGTGGGTCTAGTAGTAGTTTCTGGAAATGTGTTCATCTCAGGAGTAGTCTCAGTTTTCCCAGGTCTTATATGAGTTGTTAATTTTGTATTCGTTTCTATTGAGTATACAGACTGAGTAGTAATTGTTTCGTCTGCTTTTGTAAATATTTCATTGGTGGGAACTGGATAGAGGTATGGAGTGGTAATTGACTCAGAAGGAGATGTAGTGAAGTGAATTGGAAAACATTTTATGTTTGCATTGCCACTATAGCCAGGAGGGCAAGAACACTGTGCACTGTGATTTTGTGCCACACACAGGGCTCTGTCTCCACATTTGAAGGTGCAAATATCTGTGCATGTGTGTCCAGTGCAGAATTGTGTCTGTGTACAATCGTTGTCGGAAGCGCAGGTAACCTTAGTTGCATTTTCAGCTGTGAATGTATTAAGATAGAAACCAATTTAAAAATATACATATATATTACAAAATTGTTTAGTTAAGATGCGGAGCAGCTGAGTTAATATATGATTAATAGGAAAGGAAATATTGAAATAGCATATTTAATGAGACGATAAAAATATAGCATCTATAGAATGAGACAGATTTAGATTTAAGGTCAAGTTGTAAATAGCTTGCCTTTATTTCACTTTATCATTACGGTAGAAAGAGGTAAACGACGTAGCATAGAAGGTGGAACTATTATTGCATACTTTAACCGAAAGCAACGTAAATTCATCGTTTTTTGATGTTTGTCGTCAAGCACTAAGAAGGTTGTACCAGGAATGAGTTTTTACCTTTGATACATCCATATTTCGCGTCTGATATAAATCCGGGAGGGCAAAACTTGCAAATTGGCCTGTGATCTTCAACATAACAAGGGGTATCTTTTGGACAGTTTGCTGTCACGCACGGATCCTCGCATCTAAATGCTCTGCAGGCTTGGTTTGCTGGACAGCCATTGTCTCTGAGGCATATAGATAGCGATGGACTGCAGTTTTTAAGACATATACATATTGGTTTGTGATCTAGGACCTCACAGCTTTTTTCAGGTGGGCACGGCGATTGTTTGGCAACAATGCAAGGATTTTGACACAAACCTTCAAGACATGCTTTATCCTTTGGACACTGGCTGTCGCGATTGCATTCGGTGTGATCAGGGGCACAAGAAATCTCTCCTTGCTCGTTTACTACAAATCCTTTCTTGCAAACACATGTTGGTCTGTGTCTGTGTACTTCACATTTTTTGTTGCCTCTACATTTAAATAGGGGGTTTTCACAAGGATCGTGGCATTTCCTAGTCGCGAAGTCGCAAGCCAGTTCATTGGAACAGTCTGAATCCGAACGGCACACTAACGGAATAGCTGGTCTCGGTTGTGCTGACAGGCACTTTGGATCGGGATGGCATATCGTATTTGCCATGCCCACATGACATTCTGGGCAGGAACATCGGGGCCTGTGTAGAATAGTAGTGCATAGAGCATTGAGTCCGCAAGCTCCTCTGAGAGTACACGGGTCTATACATTGGAAGTTGATGCATGCTTTTTCATTGGGACACTCTAAGTCACTGTTACATTCGGCAGCTACGGAAACATCGGGTGGGCAAGAAAAAGAAAGCAATTTTAAGAACCGTGAAAGGAAGTAAATCTCACAATAAACGAAATCGCATGCGGGCGTGACCAAGACAGTCAGAGGATGAGAGAAATGAAAGAGGCCATCTCAACGAGACCGAACAAGCGGCAGTATTTACAAGCGTAACAGCTTTGAGCCGGATGTTGCTAAGAATCAATGCTAATGTACAAATCATAATGTGAGAATGCTCCTTTCATAGTTCCCAATCTGACTTATCATCCATCATACCCGCTGCGCGCAACCGCACAGGGCGCCACGCGCTACCGGTGCTGTTTCTAAGACATTTGTGTTACTAACTGACTGCACTCAGTTGTGTGGAATGTGGCTGGGTGATGGGAAGCGTGGGCATATCAGGATTGTGTGAAAGGCAGATTGGAACCCTGAAGTGTACATTCCACATGACGAACTGCATTTGAGATCGCCAACAACTAGTACATTATTTACAAAATACTCCGCTCCGACAATTTACTCAAGTACCTAGACCAAATACTTTGTATTAAATCAATTGAAGTTCCTACAGCTCATTACACTGACCACAATCAACATTTGTTATACATCAACGTGCAGAACCTTTGTACATATCGTGTGGATATTATTTATTATTGATATAATCAGTTTCTAATGCACAACTGCATTAGTTGAGCGAATAAAGCCTATGTACTGTATACAATGTACGTGAGGGTGTTTGTTATGCAATGATAATGATGCAAGAAAAGTAACTTACCTCTCTGACAGCCTTTCCCAGGTACGCTGGAATAGCCCGGTAAACAACGACACACAAAATATGCCTGTTCGCGTATGCACTCAGAATTCTTACCACATCCCTCTGTCCTACAATCCGACACGCTCACTCTTTCAGTAGTACCTAAAATTAATTAGATTAGATTTAGATTGAGAAAGCAAACAATAGATTAAATGGGCACTTCTGTATAGTATCGTTAAATTTTAATAGGGTGTCAAAATCTGTTATTGTTTTTATTGGTTCGGTATTTTACAGAAGTTTTGATGTACTTTTTTTACACAAATATTTCATTGTTGGTTGGCATACTAATACTGTAATAATATAGAAAATTTAAATTTGTTTTATTTATATGAATGAACAATACACCAATGCAGAATATACAGACATGTTATCAGTTTTTTTTATATTGTCAAATAAGTAGTCAAGAGTATTCAAACAAATGGATAGGTAGAGGTTATGACACCCCTGTAAATTGGCCAGCACGTTCTCCAGACTTAAATTCATTGGATTATTTTTTTATGACACCTTTTACCCATGTTTTACAAGACACCTATGAGTAACGAAGAAGAACTTTGGCAATACATTGAAGATGAAACAAAATAATTTTAGAGGCTTTAACAAAGATATGCAACAAGTACAATTTAATTTACTTCTTCGTAAAAATCTTTGTATGCTTGTAAATGTTAAACACATTGAAAACTTTTTTATAGGGTGTTCTTAAATAAGTGTTACAACGGAAAACTGTAAATTCCTCTTGAAAAAAGAAACATTATTTTCCTCTTCCATTTTTCTCTCCGGGCTTTCATTTTCGAAATATACGGTGTCAAAACTTAATTTTTTTTTTGTTTGTATTTTGCCAATATCTTAGGAACCATTTGAACTACAGGACTAAACTTTTGTACATACATTACCAATATTAATAGCTGCTACTTTTCGTACCCTTCTCGAATTCATTGGAGATTTTAAGGTATCGTAATATTAAATTTCATTAAAATTATTAATTATTACTACCTATTTTTTGAATTACAAAACATTTTCGAAACGATAGCAAAATGTTTGTTTTGTTCATAAAAAGTCATTTTTCTTGAAAACGGTTGGCTTTAGAGCAATGAACCAAGAGAACTGTTTTTGTGTAAAATTCATTGGCGCTTCAGAATTTGCTGTCAAATGTCAATTTTTTCTGTGGCGTAAACGTAAGGGGAGAAAAACCCATACGATATCTTAAAATCTTCACCACTGAATCGTCCAATGGAAGAGGAAAAAAATGTTTCTTTTTTTCAAGAGGAATTTACACTTTTCCGTAGCGATACTTATTTAGGAACACTCTGTATATTTATTTTTTGTATTCACTTTTTTATAAAATCTACATCCAATCGTTAATGTATAAATTACAAAAAGAAAAGCAACAACCTAATTGAAACAAACATACCCCCAGTGTTGCATATGAAATGATATTTTTCCTAGTCTTGATATGTGACATTTTATGCCATAAAGCTATGTTACTGTATTAAATTTAAGCTGTCGCATAAATTTATAACAAGAAACAATTTAAAAATTGACCTTCAGTACTATCTAGCACCCAAACTAAGCATATTTGTATTAAATCGATTTCTTTTGATCCAGAGAACATGAGCAGAAATTTGTAAAGACTCTTTAAAGGCATTTTGTATTTTACGACTTTACAAAAATGTCTTAAAAGAAATTTGCATTACATATAAATACTCTATTAAAAAAATTGTTTGGACGCATGTCTACAAATATGTAACGTGTTAAATTGAAATTATAAAGAATTCCAATTACTTTATATTTTTGGTCGTGGTAGTTGCTATACAGGGTGTAACTTTGAATGGGGGTTATATTTATACAGAGGCTTCCTTTGACCTTTAGAAACACGTATCAAGTTTATTTTTTCAAATTCCGGCATAAAAACTTAGCGCGAGTGGGTGTTCAACACACAGACAATACTTAAAAAGTAACCTAGCAAAAAACTGAAACAGTAATCAATAATGATAAAAGAAATACACAGAAATAGTCTGTTGATGGCTTCCAGCGAAGAAAAACATTCAAATTCACAGTGATGTACAGGGTGATTCACTATATTTTGACCCCCCCTTTAACTTTTTTGTTTTACGAGTTATAAAAAAATGTGAAATATAAAAGTTGCACGATTTTTTATAAATTTTTCGAAAATGATAGTAGAAAAACAAACGAAGTCCAAACAAAATGGCCACTGATGAAAAAGGTTTTTATTAAGAAAATAATACATCTTGTATATGTTAGACCTCTTTCAGGCATTTCTGCTTTTTTTCCAATTACATAAGGATTTACAGATTTAGTTGTAATATATCTTAACACATCGGACATTGATATGGTCCAAAATGCATATAGGTAATGTAACGAAATCTCACTAATTAGGCCGTGAGAGGTCTAATTACTCATGGACATTATACGGTAGGTCGTGACAGTGACAGGTAGTAATGTCTTGACAACATTGTTATTGATTGACAGTATGTATTATTGTTTAATTAAAATAGGTTACACAGAAGTAGAAAATTATTTAGAATTAAAATAGAGTATGGAGAAGAACTTTGCTCTATTTTAATTCCTATAACATTTCAATTTTCTACTTCTGTGTAACCCATTTTAATTAAATAATAATACAAACTGTCAAACAATAACAATGTTGTCATGACATTACCTGTCACTGTCACGGCCTACTATATAACATTGTCCATGAGTAATTAGGCCTCTCACGGCCTAATTAGTGAGATTTAGTTAAAAAGCCTATACGCATTTTAGACCGATATGTCAAAATATATTACAACTAAATCTGTAAATCCTTACGTAATTGGAAAAATGCAAAAATGTCTGAAAAAGGTTTAACAATTACAAGATGTCTTATTTTATTTTCTTAATAAAAAACCTTCTTTTCGTTTTTTAATAGTATCTCGCTTACTGTTAGTGATGGATCCAACAAACCCTACATGACTATGCTCGACAGGGAACGGTCTATCCAAATATGTAAAAATATACAGGGTGTTCCATTTAACTTAACAAAGTTAACATCCGTGGCCATTTTGTTTGGACTTTATTTGTTTTTCTACTATCATTTTCAAAAAATTCACAAAAACTCGTGCAACTTTTATATTTCACATTTTTTTATAACTCTTAAAACAAAAAGGTTAAAGGGGGGGGGGGTCAAAATATAGTGAATCATCCTGTACAGTCTCCAAACAACAAACTGACGTTTTTTAAGTTTTATTCGAAAATTATACATAAGAGAGTAATAATTTGTAGAAAATTGGAATCCGAAAATATCATGATTGTTACCGTAAAGCAATGGCATACTATATTATTTAGAAAAATATGCAACCGATACCCTGTATCTCCGCCACTGGAGCACGCAAATTTTCGGAGAAGCCCTCAGATTTTGGACAATGTTTACATAAATACATGTGCCCAAATTCAAATTATTTCACTTACTAGTTTTTAAATTATTTAAAAAACTTAAAAATATTTTTTGACGTACAACACCCTGTATCTTTTTAATGAGGATAAAAACTTATATAAAAGACTCCCCTTAAAATTTACCAAAGAAAACGAGGTTTCAATTTTGGTCACCATTTGTGAATCAACCTGTATATTCATAGCTCATATCGAGAGTCTGTTAAATATAAAAATTTTAACATGCTTTTAAAATTTAACGGCAGTTACTCTATTAATGATAATGACATTCAATTTATGTAGTGTTAATTTTAACTTACATTCAATCGTTGGATCACCAGAAGGTTTGTCAGCTGGGCAATAACATTGCGCTTCTTTTCCATTAACAACCCTACATTCAGCCCCGTTGCCACATAGTTTGCCTTTGCATAAGTTAAAGTCTTCGCAAACACATCCCTTGTTAGGATCACCCACGCACCCAGTATCGCAGGTGCATTCATATCCACTAGGAATATTCCTACATTTGCTGTTTTCACCACAAGGCTTTTTCGCACACTCATCGACACTACTCTGTTTACATTCAATCAAACCATTTCCGACGTAGCCAGGCGGACAGGAGCACAACGGTTTTCTATCCACAACCCTGCATTGAGCGTTAGTGCCACACGCCCCTTGCTCCAAGCAAGGATTTCTGCAAGCTCCATCTGATCCACATTTCTTGTTCGTTTCGCAGTCTTCATCTTGTCTGCATTCGTAAGGAGAGCAAAGAACGTTGGGATCCCCTTGATGTCCGTCAGGACATAAACAAACTTTTCTGTGGTCTGTTGCTCTGCAAAGGGCATTCTTACCGCACGAGTTGGGGGATTTGCACGGATCCTGACATTTCCTACTCCTACATATTTCTGTGTTTGGACAGTCGTTACTTGTTCGGCACCCCGGCAAGCAGGCTCCTCTCGTGCATAATTGGCCTTGTGCACAAAACGATTGGGCGGAGCACTTGTTTCTGCATTTTTTAGCCACGCAAGTTTCTCCGCATGAGCAATCATCAGAAGACTTGCACGATTTTGTACAGTAACCGACTTCGTCGCATTCGCAATTGGCATTACATTTGGTGGCGACTTTCGTACAGCTTATTAGAGGATTGCCTAAGAAGTTCGTTGGGCAACTACATTGGGCTACATGATTGTTTACTAGGCAATTGGCACATGCTCCGCATGTTGTGGAATCGGAATCACATGGATCTGAAAAAATTGTCAACATTAATGGTTAATTATACGTGAATTTAGTGACATATGTTCAGATTCACTTACTTTTACATTTATTATTGATGCAAGCCTGATCCTGAGGACAAACCGAATCGCTTCGGCAGCCTATCTCACAGAGACGATTTTCGCATATCTGACTAGTACTACAGGCACTATCCGAATTGCAGATACTTTTGCAAACCCCTTTGATGCATCGTTCGTCTGCTAAGCAGTTACGATCTCTGGAAAATATATAAAAGAATAAGATTGTGTCACTTCAGTTTTATATCGACTTACGTTCTGCACATTCCTTGACACACACCGCCATAACACGCCTGGCCAGTAACACATTCTTTGTCTGAATAACAAGTTTTCAAGGGGTAGCGACAGGATTCTAGTGGATTTCCGATAAGAGGTGCAGGACAACTACACTGTTTTTGATGGTTGGTGGCAATACAATCGGCATTTGTGCCACAGGCAGTAGGCGACGAGCATAATTCTAAACATTGGTTATTGACACAAGATTCCTCAGGAGAGCAGCTGGAATCACTCCTGCATCCAAGGACGCAGGTAAGATTTTCACAAATCTCGTCAGTTCTGCAGTCACCGTCTCTTCTACAGATGGGTTTACAAATGCCAGAAGGAATATCACATTTCTCATTAGTCAAACATCCAGTGTCCGAGGAACATATCGTTCTACAGAATTCATTTATACAAGCATTACCAGTTGTGCATTCTCTGTTTTCTTTGCAGGGTTGCGCCGGTGCTCTTACGCAAGCAACTTTAGCAGACGGACTGGGAACGAAACCTTCGCCACAGGAACAGGTGGCTCTGTGATTGGATACTGTACAGAGGGCGTTTGGGCCACAAGGGTTTTCGGTACATGGGTTGACGCACTTGTTGTTCCTGCACGACTCACTGCTAGTACAGTCTTCGTCATTGTGACAACCATAGAAACACATGTTGTTGAAGCATATATGACCAAGGAAACAGTCATTGTCAACACGACAAGTCAACTGGCAGTTGTTCTTAAGACATTTTTCATTGTAGGCACAATCGTTGTCTGCTTGGCAATGGGGATGACACATATTGTCAGTACAACTGAATCCTTCTCCACAATCTCCATTAGAATTGCATGGGAGAGGCACTGAAATTGATATTAATTAATGGTAACAGTAAATTAGATTGTAACGTACAAAGTAAATGTCATGTACTAATTATACAGGCTGTCTTATAAAAAACGCCCCAAGCTGTAACTCTGTTAATAATTGTTCTATTTAAAAAATAACAAAAGACTTGTTAATGGCTTGACAAATGCTACAATCGAGCACTGATTTTAATTTTTTTTGCCATCATCAGAACGTTGGCGATTTTCAATTGTTTTTTTCATAAATGTCAAGTTATTATTTTTTTTGGCCTGTTCGATAGAGTATTTTTTTTCTGCAGTCAACGATATATTACAATTTGATATTTGTTAAATATTTTATGGAAAAAATATTTTTTTACAAAATTTATTAGAGAATTGCTATCTATGTCTAATTCACGACAACTTCTGATAAAAATGTCAAATTTGCCATGAAAACAATTAAATTTAGAAGAATTAAAAGTCACATACGAGTCATTTCCTAGGCAAAATACGTATCAGTATATTGTGAAGTTAATTACAAAGAAATCACTATAACTTAAAAAATATGAACACTAATGAACTGACCGATATGTTGCAAGTATACTTTCAATTTAATAAAAATAGTGCCCAAGCAGAATGTCTGTATTCAAATCGGTTTCCAAACAGGGATGTTCCACAGCGACAAAAATTTAAAAGACTTGAAGACAATCTCAGAATGTATAGTGCTTTTATAAAGCCTAAAAATGCGTTGCGAATTGGTCCTGTAGAATGAGACGTTTTGCTTAGTATTGAAGAAAATCCATAAGCTTTTACTCGAGAAATTGCAAGTAATATTAATTCTAGTACACAAAATCTTAAAAAAACACAAATTTAAATCATACATGCCACAGAAAGTGCAAGTGTTAGAAGATAATGATCGTGTCTGAAGGGAGCAATTTTGCCATTTTTATTTAAATATGATACAACAGGTCGCAGGATTTTGGAGAAAAATTATATGGTCAGATGGGTGTACCTTTAGTAATAATGGCATTTTAAACCGAAATATCCATTGATATTGGAGTCAAAAACATCCCAAAATAACTGTTGAAACCAATTACCAACGGAGATTCAGTGTCAATGTTTGGTGTGGTATTCTAGGTAATCGATTAATTGGACCATTTTTCATCAATGGAACTCTAACTCAAGACAAATATCATAGACTCTTGTCAGAAAATCTTGCAAACTTTTTGGATACCTTACCACTTGCAGAAGTGTATAGGATTTATTTTCAACAAGATGGTGCTCCCCCGCATAATGCTAGAAGAAACAGTAATTGGTTAAATGCTAATTTTGATGAACGGTGGATTGGCATGACTAGTCCTGTTCGTTGGCCCGCCCTTTCTCCTGACCTCACCCCCGCAGATTTTTGGTTTTGGGGATATCTTAAAGATCAAGTATTTTTGACACATCCGGTAAATGTAGATATTTTAAAGAGAGGATTATAAACTTTTGCCGTGAAATACCTCCAAACTTAATATCGAATGTTACGTATGAGGTAGCCAGAAGATGTGAACAAGATGGAAGACAGTTCGAACAATTTTTATAAGGTTTTTTATTGTTATATTTTTGTTCTGTTGTTGATCTGGTATCTATTTGTTTTGCTTTGTTGTTGTTACTTTCGACATAGCATTTCTCTAATAAATTTTGTAAAAAAATATTTTTTCAATAAATATTTAACAAATATCAAGTTGTAATATATCGTTGACTACAGAAAAAAATACTCTATCAAACAGGCCAAAACAAATAATAACTTGACGTTTAAGAAAAAACAATTGAAAATCGCCTAATGTTCTGATGATGGCAAAAAAAATTAAAATCAGTGCTCAATTGTAGTATTTGTCAAGCCATTAACAACAGTCTTTTGTTTTTTTTTAAATAGAACAATTACTTATTAACAGAGTTACAGCTTGGGGCATTTTTTATAAGACAGCCTGTATACATATATTCAAGACAAAGATTAAGGGGGAGGAAGGATCGGACACGCTCTAATTACTAACAAAAAAAATATCAGAAAATGGCTGTCAGTTGTCAAATTTTGAGCTGTTAAATTTTATTTAAAAAATAATTCATTTGATTTTAAGCACATTTTAAATAAGTATTGACATGTGTATTCATTACTAGTTTTAGAGTCGTTATTTCCATGAGGACCACTTTATGTATGTACTTCCTATCTTTTCTCTTCCCTTATTTTTGATTTAAGATATAAAATACTTTGTAATTATATCTCACCCACATTCCAAATAGCTAAATCATTCATCAGTTGTCTTACCCAAGGCATACTAATGAGAATTAATAAGCTTGAAACCAGTATATATCAGGTGTTGCTACTGACGAATGACCTTAACTTTTTACGAGATATTGTAGGTGAAATTCAATGGTAGACCAGGCATATAGCTCGCAGAGTAGTTGTTTCCCACAATATCATCAGTTTAATAGTAAATAAGGATGCCATAATACTTACATCTGATACACTCGATGTCTTGATTTCCCGTGAAACCTGGCGGGCAACTGCAATGTTTGACGTGATTATCCACAGCACATACGGCATTCATCCCACATGACGTTTTTAATATGCAAGGATTAAGACATTGCCCTTTCAAACATTTCTCGTCTTGCTGACATTCACTGTCTGCCTCACAGGGTAAAGTACAGATATCGCCGTAGCAATAAGTATTTGCAGAGCAGTCAGCCGTGGTCTTACAATTTACTAATTTAGGCGTACATCCTAAACTGACATCATTAGGATTTCCTTGATAACCGTTCCGGCAACTACAATGTCCCACATGCTCGACTGCTATACATTCGGCATTGGCGCCACACAAGGTGTTTTCGCACACGTCTCTGCACTTATGGATTCCGTTACTCCTGTCGCAATTAGCAACGGTAGGGCAGTCTTTATCAGTTATGCATTCGTGTGGTGCTCGACATCCATCGTTATAAGGGTCTCCTATGGAGCCACTCGGACACTGGCATTTGAAGGAACCACGAGAATTGAGACAGGTGGCGCCAGGTCCGCAGGGTTCATCGGCGCAGAAATCTATTAGTGTACATCCCACATTAGCATCTCCCGTGAAACCTGGTTGACAGTAACAGGTTTGTTTATGGTGTTCAGCGGAACATAAGGCGTTTTTCCCACATGGATTGTTTACCAAACAAGCTATTTTACACATGTACTGATCGCAGAGCTTGTCATTGGTGCATTCCTCGTTCTTTTCGCATTCCACTTTCTGACATCCTAGTTTATCGTCGTTGGGGTTGCCTTTGAAGCCTGACTTACATTTGCAAGAAGCTCTGTGGTTTTTCGACGAGCATTCCGCATTTCTACCGCAGAGCACACCATCACAAGCGTCTATGCAATCAGCTTGGCCGATGCTGTTGGATAAACATTTTTCTTTGGAGCCACAGTCGGTGTTTGTTCTGCATCTGACCTCTTGTGTGCAGATGTTGTTGTGACAGAATTGGTAGTCAGGGCAGGAAGAGTTTGACTTGCAGGTTGGCTGGCACAAACCTTGGATACAGAGCTGGTCAGTGATGCAATCACGGGAAGAGGTGCATACTGAAGTGCATAGACCGTTGTAGCATTTCAGACTGGAAGGGCACTGATTGTCACCCGCGCAGTACTGAACTGGTACGCATCCTAAGTGTGGATCCCCGGTGGTACCTGCTTGACAAGTACAAACGCCAAGATGATTTAATGGGAGGCAATCTGCTTTGGTACCACACACGTTGACCAGTTCACATGGATTAATGCATTTGGAGTCGAAGCAAGTTTTCTCTTGTGGGCAGTCATTATTATCTACGCATTCGATGGTGATACAGTTCTGATTAGCATCTTGTCTTGTACGAGGAGGACATCTGCACGTAGCTTGATGTGAGACAGGAATACATTCTGCATTTAGGCCGCAAGCCGTTGGGCTGTCACATGGATTTTTACATCTGTTATTGTCGCAGAAAGCGGAAGACGAGCAGTCAGCGTCAGTGAAGCAATCCCCTGGTTTCCGACATCCCGTTCCACTGGGATCTCCAACTAAACCATCGGCACATACACAGGAGTATCCGCCACCTGTATTAACACAAGTTGCTGTTGGATGGCATGGTTGCAATTCGATACATTCATTGATATCCGTGCATCTGTCGTTTTCAACTTTGTAACCGGAGAAACAGGTGCAGATAGCTTGATGGTTTTCAGCATTGCATGAGCCTTTACCGCAGTTCACAACTTCACATGGATCTGAAAAAGCAAACATGTATAACGTACTTAATTAACACTCTATTGAAACTTACTTAAGCATTTATTAGATTTCTCATCGCAGTATCTGTTAGAAGAGCAGTCGTTATCTTCTAAACATTCGACTTTGAAACAACCCAAGTGCTTATCGTAGGGGTCTCCTAAATGTCCCGGCGGGCAAGAACAGGTTGGTTTATGTTTCGCTATGGTGCATAGCGCATGGGCTCCACACAGGTTCTCTTCACAGGGATCTTGGCATTTCCCCAATTTACATACCAGATTGTCTGCGCAGTTATTGCTATTGCGACACTGACCAGGAAGTGCACAACCTGGCTCTCCGAATGGATCTCCCACCATGCCTTCCCCACATATACACGTGTATGATCCGGGCTGGTTTTTACAGAGAGCTGTGGCATGGCAAGGATTGTCTTCACATTCGTCTATGTCTACGCAGCCGTGAGGCGTACCAATGAATCCCAAAGCACATTTACATTGTCCTTGGAAACAGATCTGTGAAACTCTACAGTCTGTGTCTACCGCACAGCCCGGTTGGCAAACTCCTTTACGACACATCTCGCCAAGTAAGCAGTTGCTGTCGCTGTAACACACCTTCATGCAAGTATTGTTGTAGCATCTTTCTCCTATCGCACAGATAGAATTTTCTTCGCAGGGTAAAGAGCATAGATTTTGTTGACATACGTGTTCTGTAGGGCATTCGTTAGTTTGTTGGCACATGGTTGGGACTCTAATACAGCCCTGTTGTGGAGTTGGGTTTCCATCAAAACCTTCAGGGCATTTACAGACAGTGTGATGATTCCTGCAAGCACAAATAGCATTTGGACCACAGGATCCCTCGGCTTGGCAGGGATCTTGGCACTTGTTGTTTATACATGCATGCTCAGAGGGGCAATTCTTGTTGCTTCGACAACCTATGATACACATGCCTTCAACACAGGCCTGGTCTCTGGAGCATTGGCTGTGATCGGCGCAAGGATTTATGCAAACTTTCCGTTGACATGTTTCACCGCCAGAGCAGTCGTCGTCATTTCGGCACACCGGCCTGCACTGTCCGTTACGGCACACTTCATTTTCACACTCGGTATCAGAGGTGCAGACGATCGCGATTCGAACACAACCCTCCTGGGTGCCGGTTTGAGCGGGGGTGTATTTCGCAAGGCAGGTGCAAGTGGCTACTCTATTTTCAACGTTGCATACCGAGTTAGGTCCACAAGTGACTTGATGGCATGGATTTACGCATCGACCCGACTGGCAAATTGAATTAGGAGGGCAGTCGTTATCTCCGTTGGGACAGTTTCCTTCGAGTCTGCAACCTGTAGTGAAAGGGTCTCCTACCGTACCTGGAGGACATTCGCATGAATGACCTTGAGGGGTATTTATGCATGTTGCGCTGCTGTGGCAAGAATTGGGGTTGCAAACATCTACTGGAAGGCATTCTACATCAGGTATAGGATTGGGACTGGTGCCTGGTGGACATTGGCAAATAGCTTTATGGTCTTCGGCAATGCAGACGGCATTCGTTCCGCAGGATTCTTCGTCGCAAACGTCATAACAAGTATGCGTTAGACGGTTACACAATTGGGTAGGAGGGCAGTCAATGTTGTAGACGCACGGTACTGATTGGCAGCCGGAGGGATCGTTAGGATTTCCTACATAGGAGCCGGGTGGGCATTGACACTGAGGTACATGGTTATTTACGATACAGATGGCGTTTGGACCACAAGTTGTAAGTTTACAGGCCGATATACATACAAATGCATCATGCTCACTATGTTTTCTGCAAGTTTCTTGTTCAGGGCATTGGCTGTCCGAATTACACTGATTCTGGACGAGAGGTTTACAACCATTGCGATCCTTTGGATCGCCAGTGTATCCTGTTAAACATTGACACTGGCCACGATGGGATTCGGCAATGCAGGTGGCGTTATCGGGACAAGTGAAGTGTGTACAGATAGGAATACATTTGAGAACACCTACTGCATCTGGCTGACAGGCTTCTGTGTTCTTACAGTCCGTATCGGAGGAACAATCTGGCACCGACGGTTTTTCACAAGAAGACGTTACTGGGTTCCAGACATAATCACTTCTGCATGCGCACGTGGGATGACCCGCTACATCTAACTGACAAATTTCATTTGGTCCACAAGCCACAGTTTCACAAGGACTTATACACTTCTGAATCCCGCTGATGTCAATCGAGCATATAGTACCAAATTTACAGTCAGCGTCAGAGTCACATTCTTTCGGACTAACTCTTTCTTGTTCTCGGCAGCCATTGTTCAGATCGCTTGGATTTCCACTATATCCAGGAGAACAGATACACGATGACCTATGATTCTCAACCAAACATAAAGCATTTGGCCCGCATTGGACTTTACTGCAAGCGTCTACACATTTTCTTAATCCTTTACCCAACTGGAAGCAAATTTCGGTATCGTAGCAGTCCAGATCGCTGTGGCACTGTCCTTGAATTTTGCACCCAACAATGAGATCGGAAGGATTTCCAACATAACCAGGAGGGCAGAAACACTTTCCTGCCTCACACGTCGCTTTAGGTCCACATTTAATGTCTGCGCAAAGATTCTTACATTGTCCTCTTCGACAAGAGTAACCATTTGGACAAAACAGCTTATCGCTGCACTGGCAGTTCTCGGGTTCCCTACATATGCCTCCCTGCACTTGCGAACACATTATAAACGGATTTCCAGCATACCCTTCTTTACAGCGACAATCATAGCTTCCAACTGTGTTGATACAAACTGCGCTGTCACCACAAGCGTTGTTATTGCATTCGTTTATATCTTCGCAACCCAAAAATGGGTTTCCTGTAAAACCATGGGCACAGATACACTCAATTCCGTTGTAACTATCTCTGCATTCTGCATTTTGTCCGCAGGATGTGGGAGTACATGTTTTTTTCTCTATACTTTCACATTCTTCATAAGGGTTTCCGATGGTGCCCGAGTTGCAAACACAGCGATTCAAGAGACCATATTCACAGTGAGCGTTTTTTCCACAGTTCGGATCACAAGTGGGCTTTGAAATAGCTGAAAAATTTATTCAGTTAAAACGTGTCTGAAATTAAATATTGGCCCATACTTACGAGGCATACAAACTAGATTTGGATCTCCTACGAAGAAGTCATTGCAGACACATTTGTTTGTGTTAACGTCACAGTGAGCACCAACTCCGCATATAATTCCTTCGCATCTTTGCTTACATCGTCCGGCGATACATACACTCGGTTCCTCGCATGGATTTACTTTTGAGCAAATGTCTACGGTACACTGTCCCCCTGGGAAAGGATTTCCAATAAAGCCTTCGAGGCATTTACAGGTGGGGCCATTGCTAGTTACGATGCATTGGGCTCCATTTGCGCAATCGGTATCCTTGCACACTAAAATAAATTTAGTTGTAACGGGTTAATTACGATTTATGTGCAGCAATATGTAACAAAAATGAACCAACAAACTTCGACAGTAGGTAACACTCACAAATTAAGGCGGAGACAGATATATTTTTTCAAAAAACTTGAAATTTGTTATACTATTTATTTTCCCATAATATATTTCTTTTTTGGGTTACCTTAACTGTGATTCACACAGAAAAATTTTAATTTAAAACTAGAAGAGGTGTTCAAAATGTCTGCATTAATCCACAGGTACATCAAACCAATGACTGACATCATTGAAAGGCTCCTAAATAAAATAAAATTTCACTTGACCTAACCCACTAACAATATTAGTATAGTAGCAGATCGGGTAACTTTTGAGGACACACTTGTGGGGGTGTTAGGGACAACATATAAAAAGTTACCAACCGTAAAGTGTACGCTTGATTATGTATTTAAAAAATTAGTTGCAAAATTCCATTGTTTATTGTATATTTTAACAAATTTAATTTTTTTAAAAAACTAATTGCGCCAATCGAAAGAACGGGAAATTTTACATAAAAAATGTATATAAAGTTATTTTCTAAAATGAAAACTGTAGGTTGTAGAATTTTTTTAAATCGTACGAAAATGTAAAGCGTTGGCACTTGCACGCAGGACTCGATCCACTAAATTTGTTATAACTTTTGATCTATTTGATCAAATTAAGTCCACAAAAATTTAAATGAAAGAGGAATCTTGTAGCTAACAAATTATCATGATTTTAAAATGGAAAAAAAAAATATTCGCAGGAATAGTGTGTAAATAAAGTCACGTAACGGTAGAATTTTCTACAAAATTAATTAAAGATCTGCCATTTTTTTAATTTTTAAGATAAAAATCTAAAACTTTCAGAGATTACTCTTGAAATAGCATTTAAAATAGTGAGTGAAATAAAAAAAATCTTAAAATTTTAATTCGAAAAATACAACGCTCGAAATATTCAATAATTTTAAAGAAAGGCAAAGATTTTTTAGGTCACGTTTCAAAGTTCGATAACTAGTTCAAAATATGATATTGCAACTTTACAAAAGCATTTTTTGAAGCTTGAAAACTGTACTTTAAGATTGTCTATTTTGTTTGATTTAAAACGTTGAATTTATAATAAAATTTAAAGAAAAACAAAAAAAAATTTTGTTCTAAAATGAGATTTGTAATAAACTTTAATAACGTAAAAAAAAATTTTTTGCTAGTTTAACCAATTTTCAAACTATGATCTTAAAAAAAGTATAATTAACGAAAAAAAAATTGTTACTATAATAAAATACGAAAAAATGCGGTTTTTCAACAAATTGTCGCGAGATTCAGTTTTACCTATATTTTTTCATAATGAAATTATGTAGTAGAAGTTTATCTGGTAATGTAATTCATTCTCCTGATTTGAATTACGAGAATTATATTTTTGAATATTAGATAGAGATAGAGAGAACATCTGCTCGGTGAATGGAGCTCAGCTGGCGCATGCTACATGTCTTACATATAAAAATGTAATTTTTAAATAAATTGTTTAAAAAAGTCGGCCATATTGGATCAGCCTTATTGAATTTTCATTTTCTGATATAATATTCTTTTTCAGAGACCTCAAAAACCCCTATAATGTCAGTTTAACTAAATTTACTTTGAAATTTGTAATTCTTAAATAAATTTTTTAAAATAGTCGACCATATTGGGTCAGCCACTTTGAATTTTTACTTTCTGATATAATATTCTTGTTCAGCGACTTCGAAAACCCTTATAATATCAATTTGATTAAAATTGCTTTGAAAATTGTAATTTTTTTATAAATTGTATAAAAAAAGTCGGCCATATTGAATCAGCCATTTTGAATTTTTATTTTTTAACATTACATTCTTATTCAGTGACCTTGAAAACCTCTATTGTACCAATCTGATTAAAATTGGTTTGAAATTTTTCAATTTATTTAAAATAATCTTTGAAAAATCATTTTTTATTGTTTAAGCAATTAAATAATAATTAGCGTACAAATATAAGTTAATAAATTTTTTTCTATAAACCATTTCAAGGCGATTGCAAAAGGTTTTATGAAAATCCAAGGCTCTGCTAATTATTCTGAAATAATACATATTTTTAAGTTCCACTAAACGGAATTTTACAAAATAAACTTATGGCATGTTTCAAAAGGTCAAAGATACACTGTATACTGTCAAAGTTTGTTAGTTCATTTTTGTCACACCCTCTATTTACTTACATGATTCACACTGCCCCTCAGAATTTACAGTGTATCCCACGACACATTTGCATTCAGCTTCATGATTGTTCGGTTCACAAATAGAATGTGGTCCACACAAAACGGCACCGCAAGGACTTATGCAAGCACCATCTTGACATTTAAGATTACTTCCGCAGTCGTTGTTTGATTGGCATTCAAGTTTCGGAGCTCCGGGGGTTTCTAGAATGCAACCCCCTTTATAAGGATCTCCAGTGAAACCTTTCGGACATAGGCATTTGTATCCTCCGTTAGTGTTTGAGCAGATGGCGCCATAGGCACAAGGTAGTTCCGCGCACTCGTTTATATCCGCACAACCCAGGTAGGGGTCCCCTTGGAAGCCCGGTTCACACGTACACTTTGGAGGGTCACTGGCTTTGCATTTTGCGTTCAAACCGCATGGGAAACGTTCACAGGGGCTCTTACATTTGCTATCTTGGGGATCGATAAAGAATGGCGGAGGGCAAACACATTCACCAGGCTGCACGCATCGTTCATTCGAGGAACATTCTTTGTCACTGATGCACTTTTTCTGAGCCGGGGAGCAGAGTCCGTTGTAAGGATCACCGCTGTATCCAAGAGGGCAGCTGCATTTATACGACCCTGGTAAATTCGTACATTCCGCTCCAAAACCGCAGATTTGCTGTTGTTCCATGCATTCATTGATGTCCACGCAGGAACCATCAGGAAGCGTTTTGAATCCTTTAGGGCAGGCGCAGTAGCTGACACCGCCTGTTATGGTAATACATTCCGCCCCGCTGGGGCACGTACCGTCAGGTCCACAGCTAGCAAGGACACAGTTACCGTCACTGAATTTGTAGGGAGGTTGGCAGCGACAGTCGGGGCTGTTGCATTCAAGACATTCCAAGAAAGGATTGCCGTTGAATCCTGGTGGACATTGGCAGTCGTAGCTGCCAGGTAAATTTTTACAAATAGCATTAATTCCGCAAGCCGGTTTATCTCTAAGTTCCGTGCATTCGTCACTGTCTCTGCACTTGCCCGTCTTGTGATCTCTAACGTAGCCTTGGACGCAGATACATACACTTTCTTCTAGATATTCATCTAAGATGCACTGTTCCCCAGCAGGGCAGGGATTTGCGTCTGAACAACCCGAAGGAATGTCAGTTTTACTACAGCCGGATCTGTAGGGGTCTCCAGTCGTGCCTCCTGGACACTCGCAGGAGAATGTACCAGGTTCATTCTTACAGATGGCTCCAGATGGGCAAGGGTTTCCCAAGCATTCGTCTATATCTACACAACCACTATTTGAACCGGTGTAACCTGTGGTGCATATGCACTTAGCCTCTTGGTTGATAAGCATGCATTCTTCGTTTGGTCCACATATAGTGGTTTCGCACGGATCTGAAATGGCATCATTTAATTAAAAATTCTTACGGTTACTCAAATATAAACACTTACGCCTGCAATCGTTGCCAATGTTAGGTTCTGGGCACAGACATCTTTTCTTATAGTCGCAGACAGAATTGCCGGGACAGTCAGAGTCACTGCTGCATGTAACGATTTCATTACATTTTAATTTTGGATCGGGATCTGGGACAGTGCCTTCAGGACATTCGCATTGATAAGAGCCTGGAGTGTTTTGACAAATAGCACCAAGTCCGCAAGGATTGCTTTTACATTCGTCTATATCAATACATTTTGAGTTCGGATTTCCCGAAAAGCCAGGTTGACATTGACAGGCGAAAGTACCGGGTAAATTGGTACAGATTGCATTTTCGGCACATCGTCCACTTGGGCCATTCACTTTATCGCACTCGTCGATATCTAAAATAAAAAAAATCTTCTGTTAAATATGAGACCTAGAAAAATAATATTATGACTTACCAATGCAACCTGCTGATATATCGCTAGGATTAAAAGTCCACCCATCTTCACAGATGCAGTAAGCTTCCTGGCCGTCAGGTTTACAGTAAGCGTGATGTCCGCAATTGACATCCGCGCAAGGCGCTTTACACTGGACCATTGGAGGAGTGCCAATGTAACCGTTTTCACATTCACAGTTGAAGCTACCGGGTGAGTTGGTGCAGACTGAAAATGGCCCGCAAGGTTGTTCCTTACACTCGTCTACGTCAATACAGACTGCACCTTTGGGTGTGAAACCTTTTTGGCAGAAGCACTGGTTTTCTATACACTCGGCATTATTTGTGCAGTCGAAATTCGATTTGCAAAGGATGTTAACATCAACCTAAACAAATAATAATTTAAAATGGTTGAAGTAGAAGTAGGAATTTTTTTCATATTACTTGTTCGCAGGCAACTTGTGGGGTAGGGCTGGCTCTGTAGCCTTGGGGGCAAATGCAGTTGTATCCAGGCACAGCGTTTTCGCAAATAGCGTGTGTACCGCACGGTTTCTCCAGAGCAGTACATTCATTAATGTCTACGCATTCTTTGAAAGGATCTCCCGTGTAATCTTCTTTGCATAAGCACGTATAGCTGCCTACCGTGTCTTTGCAAACAGAGTTTTCTCCGCATGGATTTGTTTCGCATTCGTTTATATCTGAGGAAATTTTACAAAAACATTTCGAAAAATTCAAACAAAATAACTAAGTGGTAACCTACAGAAGGATAGACTGAAAGAAACAGAACAGGTAAAGACGAGACATATACATAACATACGAAGGGCTGAAAGTGAAACTAGGATTAATGACAATCTGCAAGGCAAATAGAATTAAAATAAAAACAAGTTTGTACAAAAATGTATACAGTACAGTTAGGCATTCTAGAATAGTCATACAAATATCAACGAACTAAAAGGAAAATACGAGGAGTAGGTAAATACAGTACTAGTTGATAAGTGGAAACGACACTACGCTAAAAAATAAGGGAAATTAGTGGATTGCAAGGCTAAGTTACATAGATACCCGGAAAATTTGTACTTTTCTTACTGCTCGCCGAACCAACATCTTAACGTCGATACTCTCACTTGGCCTTCCCGTTACCAGAAAAGTTACAACCGAGTAAAAGGGCACCAACGACAGCATATCTCGACTCGGTGATCAGTAAGTCAAATATCTGAATTCGTGTTACAAAGAGGAGAAGAGTATATATTGTTATTTCACTAACTTTCGCAGTAAGTGTGTCCCTGTCCCGTAAACCCTTGGGGACATATGCATTTGAAGGAGCCAGGTACGTTAATGCATTTCGCGTTTATTCCACAAGCTCCTGACCTCCCACATTCATTGATATCAACACAGTCTTCATTAGCCGATCCTGTGTATCCTTCGGGACACAAGCAGGAATAACTTCCGTTAGTGTTGACGCAGGTAGCGGTTGCAGCACAGGGGTTCGATTGGCATTCGTTAATGTCTGGTGAGTTTATAGCATTAGCATCATTATTAAGTTTTATTACTGTTGATTAGATTATGGAGATGTGATTTTCTTAGTTTTTTCGAGTTAGTCAAATTTTGTATTAATATATAGTGTGATTAGTTGTTGGACTTTTACGGCATTAATAAAGTGCGTCCAGTTTTGAGGCATTTGCAGCAATTTAGAAGCCAATTTTATGTGGTTTGAGGAGTCAGTAACGTAAAACATGAAACGCACACATGTTTCAGAAACTCATCAGTAAACTGAACGGTCTTGGTCACAGTGCCGCATATTTAGTGTTAATATTTTTAAAATTCACATACATATGTACAGTGTAAATATTATTATTATTCAGTAAATGTAAAACTGATTTTCCTATATCTTTGCCGCAATTACCTTATTTTTATTAGTACACAGTTTGCTACAATATTAGAGCGCAAACTGAGTTAATACACATAGTTGTTCTCTACAAGTTATTCCAATCCATCTACAATGACATGATTAAGTAAAAGTCCTTGGTTAAACTAAAATTTTTGTACAAGAAAATCAGTCTCCACGTGTTTGTTTCTGTGAATAATTATTATTTATTTACATATATGTGTGTAAACGTACATACGTTTTTAATGTATTATTAAAGCAAGTACCTGTGCATTCGATCATGGGGTCTCCAATGAACCCTGGAGGGCAAGCGCACTTAAAGCTGCCCTCCAAATTGGTGCACTGAGCATCTCTACCGCAAGGGTTTCTTCTTGAGCATTCATCCATGTCTCCACATCCTGTGGTGTACGGATCCCCTTCATAACCAGGTGGACAGAAGCACTCCCGTCCTCCAATAACATTTCTGCAGATGGCGCCAGGTCCACAAACATTTTGATTCTCGCATTCGTTAATATCCACGCAACCATTGAAGGGATTTCCGAAGAAACCTTCTGGGCATGCACAGGTGTAATTTCCAGGAGTATTCTGACATAAGGCATTCTGTCCACATGCATTTGGATTCGCACATTCGTCAATGTCTGGAGCAATTCAAGTGTATAATTATGTATTATTATAATCCATATTTAAAATATTAACATATAAATATAAAATTGGATTTGTGTTGACATTGGACAGAGAAGAGAGTCTTACCAAGACATTGCTTTTCTCCATCTCCTTGGAAGCCGGGATTACATTTGCAAAGAAAATGTGCCGGTAAGTTGCAGCATTCTGCATTTTCCACGCATCTGGCAGCTATCGTAGGATCTTCGCACTCGTTTATGTCTGTAAATATCATACAAAACTATTAATTTTTTAATCTTCGATCTTCTGTACTTATTTTTTTAAATGCAATAACGCCTGTAATTCTTACATGCTGCTTGAAGATATTAATCTTAATATTTACTGTTACACATTAGATGAACTAAACCTACCATTAAATTTAACTTTTATACTTTAATATATTTAAATAACCTCAACGTTTAATACGCAAAATCTAATAGTGGTGGCAATTTGCTTTTTGTTTATTGGTTACCTTCAATGAAATGCAATTGGTTTAGAAATGATTTCAAGGTTTATGTGTGAAGGTAGATTTAATTTTAAGTATAATACTAAATTTTAAACATTTTATGTTCATTTTTAAATATTTCTGCGTGATTAAGATAACGTAAATATTTTTTTTTTATCAAATCATTAAGACTTAAATATATCATATCTACTTTAAATCGCGACCTTGCACCATTCTTATCAAATACCTCGTCAATTCATCGCATGTGCTTTATTGCGCAAAATAACGTCAACTTAACGTCCGAGGAGATGGTTCATTGATCTTGTGAGGCCGTTGATCTTCTGCAGAGGCACTATGAGTCTTCCGATGTGCCGGCCTAGCCATCTAGCCGGACTAGAGCGTCTCTTTATTGTCCTCGAGAGGCAACTGTGTCGTTTTGTTAGAATGCACTTTTGCTTTTCATACACGAAGTGATTTTACCACAAATTGTGACAACCGATTGTCAGTTAACACACATTTTTGTTACAATAATGTGATTGGAAAATGATTTGATAAATAAAATGCCGTCAATATTTATGTTACTGAACGCGAAATTACGTTGACGAAATAAAAATCACATGTATTAAATGTCTTACATATAATAGTTATTTAATAAAATAATGTTCTGAGGCCTCGGCTAATGTGCTATTGTAATATATAAATGGTCGCTGACCCTTGCCAAAACACCAGTTGGAAGTGAACGGTTGCTGATTTAGTCAACCAAATTAATAAGGAAAAATTAACGGTACAACGCCACAGGTGGTGTTATTTATTAGCATGTGTGACTGAGACTGCGGTTTACGAATCTCATTTCTTAATTAAGCTTAATTATTTTCATATCAAAGCAATTTAAAGATAAATTAAGTATCATACAAAAAATATCTGACAAAATATGTATACAATAATCATTAATTTATTAATTACAATTTTTCAAATGAAATCAAACGTGAATCTTGATTATTAGCATCACATTCTGAGCATATTAACTTTCTTAATTAGAATTTACTTTGCAATTAACTTGAAAATTATTAGGTTGTTATAATTAAATACGACACAGTTGTCAACAACTATAAGGTAAGTCTATAATTTGTAAATTTGTAATACATATACGTTGTTTCCATTGTTCACAATACATGACCGAACCTTTTCTTTTTAAACCTTAACGTTTCGTTATTCCACCTTACCGCTGGGTGTCAACTATGTATTATTGAAGTTCCGTGGTTGTTGTTTCCATTCAAACATATTCACAACTTTAATATTTTAATCGACGATTTTCAAATTTCCACCATCAAATAAAATACTTATATCTATATTCTTTATATGGCAAATGCTAACAAAAGCTGCTGCCAAGGTGAGAAAGGTTTGTGATTATAAATCTAAAAAGACGAGTTCTATGTTGCACATCGAAACCTAGGTAATACCACAGTTTAGTATAAAGTAATAATTGTAAAGTGAAAATATTTCATTGCCTACTTTTTCTACAATGGTAAAATTTGAATTTGGCATTTTATAATAAAGAAACTATGTATAATTAAAAATGTTGAATGTTGAAATTGATATTTTGAATTATACATTATACTATAGGTATTAGTTTATCTTGATTACTGTAAGTATTCTTGCTATAATTAGTTATAGATAGAATAGATAGGTACAAAATGTCAATTATTTTGACAAATCGTTATTTAGAAACGTCAAAATTCAGTTGTTTCCACAGCTGGCTATCATTTTTCAGACAGAATAAAGTTAATGATATTCATATTTTTCCTGTTTTTCTAGCAATATTTAGACGGAAACTATAGACTTCCTTATATAGCTGAACGCAGAAAAAAAATATCTTCCAGAATTGATAAAAAAATATATAATGTGCCATTTGAACAAAAACAGTTGACTAGGTATAGCAATTTTGACATATGTTACCATGGAGACGATCTAATAATGTCATTTGATTGAGTTTGAGCAGAGATTTTAAAATATACCTATAGGCTTTAGTTTATAATATTTAGTTACTATATTATTATAAGAGATACGGGGCCGTGAATACTAAACTAAATCACCCGGTATAATTATATTGTAAATGTTAGGCGTGGCTTACCTTCGCAATGAAAACCATCTCCCTGATATCCTGGGAAACACGTACAGGAGAAACTGCCCAGAGTATTTGTACAGTGCGCGAATACATCGCACGGCCTATATTTACATTCGTTTTCATCTGAAAAGTAAATTTGCAATTAAATGTATGGGATCCAATAATTTAACTAAACATAAATTTTAAACGCAGGCTCCGTGTAAATTTTTTTTAAGTGTTCGGATACCCAATTAAATAACCCGGTAAATTAACAACATTCTGCTGCGTTTGGAGCCCAGTTATCAATATCATCCTAATTTATCTGATCGGCACAGCCTTTCCAGTTCAGCAAAGCAAACAATCAGCACGTATCAAGTTTTTTTTTCAAGGTTCCTCAATGGTCGACCGTTAAAATAATTTGCGGAGTTAATTAAAGAATTCACATACGGAGCCCGTCATTATTAAAATAGAGATAACCATCTCCATTTCTACTACAATGGGCGGTCATTAAAATAAACAGTAACGTTACAATCAGCGTATGTGTCATTTACTGTAGGCAGATAAAAAAATTATAATAGGCGATCGTTCCACCGTTATGTGCCACCTAATTGACTGGTAGTTGTCTGTTTAATTTTGAGCTCATTTTAAAGCGGTTGTAATGACATGTCACAAAATAGCACAATCATTTGGTATGTTATTCTCTTGAAATGCTTTGACGTCTTGGATTTTTTGCTTAGCTTTCGTAGACATGCAATACAAAGATAATTCAGAAAAAAACGGATTATACTCTTCTGAAACAGAATGGTACTTTCGTTGGATATAATGAAATAATTACGAATTAATTTGATTCTTCTGTGTTCTTTTTTTACCTGGAACTTCGCAACTGCAGCCACCATATCCATCGTTGCAATGGCAAAGGCCATCTAGACAGGCTCCGTTCTGACACTCAGTTCCGTCTTCTTTTCGGCAAGTATCTGGAAAAAATAAACGGGAGAATTAGTTTCTATCGACCTATCCAAAGATAAATGAAATATGATAACGTTTATGGTTTAAATTCTTTGAACATTCAGGGCTTTCAGTCAGAGGGGTACATTTTGAAAAAATTATGGACAAGCAAGGCATACGCATCGAGTTGTAGGTACCGGCAGATTTTGGACAATCACGTTTAAAAATTGTGGAACAAATTTATTATTAAAGAACATTCTGCGCCAGTCTAAAATACAGATGCATAAAAATATTTTAAAGAAAATTTAAGACCATTGTAAACGTTCAATAGTATATTATTCAACGAGCGTATAATGATGGGTATTATTCACGAGGTGAAGTTTACGGCCACGAGCCGCAGGCGAGTGGCCTAAATCACCGAGTGGATAATAGCCATTATACGGGAGTANATGGACAAGCAAGGCATACGCATCGAGTCGTAGGTACCGGCAGATTTTGGACAATCACGTTTAAAAATTGTGGAATAAATTTATTATTAAAGAACATTCTGCGCCAGTCTAAACTACAGATGCGGGAATCTAACAACAAATCGATTTTGTCGGTGGATTTCTAAGGCCCGATTTCATAAAAAATTTCTAAAGAAAATTTAAGACCATCGTAAACGTTTAAACATTTTAAATTTTAGTGGTATTTAATTTTATAATATTGACTATAAATCCGGGACATGCACTATTTTTTTAGTGTGTAGTTTTTTGATTACTTCTTGGAATCGACTTTGCAACTAATAATATTGTAGGAGGTTCTAGCGGTTTTGATAGCGGGTCTGTCTCCACAAAGCCTAGTCCGAGAACAACAAGGGCAGGTCAGCTTAGCTAAGGCTAAGGAAACACGATGTAAGTCTGTAATTGACGGTGACAAGGTACATAGGCCATGGACAACAACCCCAAAAACCATCATAGTTCAAATGTTGTACAAAACAATTACTTTGCTGAGCTGCCCAGCATTGAACTACACCAGCAATATCTAGTAAACATGTTATATCTTACCCATATTAACTACAGATAAAATACAAGACGAAACAAGTCTATATCAAATATTAGATATCAATGAAAAAAAACTGCCATTCAAATAATTAAAAAATATACATTTTCTTTCCCTGTTTCTAACATCTTTTCTTTGACAAAGATGAACTTTAATTTATAGACTTGATTTGAATTAGCTTAACATCTTTTGAAGCAAAGTGAATGTACAAAAATTTAATTAAAAAAAAAAGATGGTTATTGTTGTAACAAATGCATGCCCATGTTTCGAATCTAACACCAGATTGCCTTAAACAGCTCCACAACCGCTCAAACAGTGCGAAGAATGTTCGAGAACATAGAATCTGAGCATAAGTACACAGACAACTTCGATTGGAGACAGAAATTTTCACCTATGTTTCGAATCCAACTGCCCTTAACTCTTCACAGCGCCGCAAACTGCTCTAATTACACCCAGCAGAGAGCCCGATGGTGTTGGTTGAATGTCGCCTAAAAAAAGCGACTCAGTTCCGAATTTTTCGAACTGAGATAGGACCAAGCTCCCTTACACAAATCTAAGATCCCATGACAGATCGAGACGTTCCCAAAGATCACCTAAATCCAAAGAGGCTAGATATTAAAAAACGTACCGAAGATCCACTTCAGCATTTGGCAGAGCCCTTCCAAAGTGGGTTCACAAGTGGGATAAACTGTGTCAGATGAAAGCGTCAGTGCAAAGTGCCAATAACAAGTTACAGACAACAACAAAAAAACGTATGCCACTCGTTAGAACATCAACTCTGAGACTGAGCTAGATGGAGCCGCAGTGGAAAGGGGTCGATCAGCGAGATGCTCCAATCGTTGGAGGATTGCGTAGTAAACCAATTCCTCGAGATCAAGACTACATTAACGAGAGTTACTGAGAAAAAGGACCAATAGAGAGGATGGTATACGACACTATCAGAAACTTTTGTTCGAGACTATACAGGGTAGTTCTGAAAAAAGTGCGTTCCTTGAAAAGGGCACGAAAATGAGCAACTTTTATTAAGCAACTGATGGTCTAAATGCTGTTTTCGAGAAAATTATTTAAGAAAATTAACCATAAATGTAAGCCGACCCTGTGCATCTTGTGCACGTGCGTCGCATATTGTAGTATTACTTAGCCGGCGTTTATTGGTGTGATGCAAATCCTTATGTTGTACAGAGATCTCAGTTCCAGCAAAGGTTTTAAGTGAATGTATGGTGTTGTGTTTTTGGTGACAGAATTTTGACCGTCGTTTGGAAGCATGTTTATTAGCACATGGAAACAACTTGGAACAATTTTTGTAGAGCATATCGTCTATTGGTAGGTAATTCGTTTATTCGTTTAATTTTTGTGTTGCTTTTAAACCAGATTTGAATGAATTTCAGCATTTTCGAACACAAAAGTTAAACCGTCAAAACCGCCATCAGCGCTTTCGCACTGTTTTAGACCGTCAGTACTGTATATCACAATGTACATGCATTTATCTTTTTATCTTGGATCGTTTATAATAGACAAATAAGAATGTTTGAAGTGTGACCAGTATAAATTGGCTTAACCAGCAACTTTATCAACTGGAGCATGTACTGCCCAAAACTGAATCTCTCTTCCAAGACTAACGATTGTTAGTCTCGGTTTCAGAACTATTCCCGTGAAGATCGATTGTTTCGTTGAACGGTTGCGTTTCGCGAACTATCGCAAATATTTGCGAGTTCAGAGATATTTGCTTTAACAAGTTCCAATCTCGGCCAAATTAGAATTTACGACCTGTGGCGTAAGGCGCAGGGACGCTGAATCGTGGACTATTAAAAGCCGGTGAGTGGTTAGAGGTCAGATGTTGCCCCGCTGAAAAACTCCACGCAAAACAAAAGAATCCCTGCTTCGTCGTCGTCGGATCGCGAGATACATTAAATTAGAGGAAAGCAACGAGCACGGGGCGCACGACCTACGAACGTGCACGCTCTCCGGAGTCCTAGACCTTGCCTTGGCAATGTAAACGGAGGAGGCGAGACGCACAAGTGGCCTCTGCGGCGTTATTACAGAGATAATGCATGTCGATATTCGTGGCTTACAAGGTGTCGTATCTGACGTTAGGAAAATGTGGCGTAGACTATAACGATAGCGGTGAAAATGTTAATATACAAGGTGTCCCGATAATTTATGAAAGCTTTCTACAATTCAAAATAAGAGGAAAATTTAAACATGGAGAAATACGGCTGTAACTTCGTGAATAATGGTCATATCGAGAAAAAAAAAGCAGCATCTTGAAGCTTGAATATTCAAGTTTTGAAATCTTGAGATAAAAATTTTTTTTGAGCATAACTTCGGCGTAATCAAAAGAAATAATGCGAGGCAAACATTTTACATTTTTCTTTCTCAAAACTGTACTTAGGCAAAAAATTTTTTCTGGTTTAATCAATGCCAGGGCCATTTAATTTGATTCATCAGCTTCAATTTATTTATTTTTTATTTTTTGTACGATTATTTCTCATTGAGATATCGGCTATTGAGTGAAAAGTCACCATTTTTTATTGATCATCGATATCTCTTGAACTAATGATCGTACAGCGAACGGAATATGGGTTTTGGAAACTTGAATGAGTCCCTTTCAAAGGCCTTTTGGTATGTTTGGAGAAAAAAAAAATTATACTTAGTATTAATTTGTAAAACCGCAAAAAATGACTTTTTTGCTATTTTGGAGAATCAACGACTACTTTGCAAATATTGCGAAGTACCAATGTTTTTTTTAGCTCAGTACATGCCCATGATTCCTGTAAATGTTGAAATCGATCGGTCGAAACGTTTTCTTTTCCTGAATCGTCAAAGTTTTACCTATAAAAAGTTAGAGGAGTAGATTTGTTGTTCCTTAAACATTAATTAATGATTAAGATGAAACAATTTTTTTGCGATATTTTTCTCACAATATCGCGTTAAGTACTCATCAAAAATAATAAAAAATTTTGAAATTACAATATTTACCTTCTTTTCATACTTTTAATCTCAACCGAATAGATAAAAACAATTTAAAATAACTAAAGCTAATGACATTTCGATTCCCTCTCTGTCAATTCATTAGAAAAACCTTTTGGTTTTTGATAGTGAGGCACTTTGATAGATTGATATCTCACCAATAAATTCATCGGTTTTATTATAGTATATTAAAGTATAAGTGGATATTAAGGTCTTTAAAACACGCGCGAGTTTTCGAGCACGACAGCGCAGCCGGAGTGCTCGAAATAGAGCAAGTGTTTTAAAGACCAGTTATCCACGAATACTTTACGCTATTTTTTTTATTGGTACTTGTTGAAATCATAAATATTGTATTAATACTACAAAAAATGGAAATAAGAACTAATAATGTCAAATGGTTGAATTTGTGATGTTACATCAGTATACCTTTCGTTGTCATGAAAACGAGAAAACAATAGTACATTGTGTAACGAGTGGGGAAAAGTTGCCAATAGCGCCACGAGGACGCAGTTGACGCACGAGCGAAGCGAGTGCGGAAAGCGCCCTAGTGGCGCTATGGCAACTTTTCCGAAAGAGTTGCACATACTATTTTCTATCACAAGTGCGAGTCGTTATGGGACCTATAGTGTAGGGGGTTAGGTGCACTGGAAAGTGCTAGATAGTACAACAGCGTGATGTTATTTTCATAGCGCAACGCTGGAGCGTTGCGCTATGAAAATAACATCAGTGCACCTAACCCCCTACACTATAGGTCCCATAGCGAGCTCGCGTGATAGAAAAATTAATTTGTAACTATACTGTCACATAAGATTAATTGCTGTCACTACAGTTATTACTAGTTGTATATTGTTTAAAAATGATTTCTAACATTGATTACTTAAATAGTAAAGCAGAATCGCGATTAATACCGCAAAAATCGCTTATAGAATAGAATACGACAAGTTCATCATAGGATGGAAGAGCAAAAGGTAACAAATACAGATGAACGAGTTGTGCTTGCTTATCTTTAGAAAATGTC